CCATCATTTTGCAGAACTCATTGAAGGCTTTGCCTATATAGGCTGGTCCATTATCAGTTTTTAATATTTTTGGTTTGCCCCATGCGGCCCAAGCCGCCAGGCAATGATTGATCACATTAGACACTTTTTTACCTGTTTCTGCTGTTGCAAATATGACGTGAGAACAGGTGTCTGTGGAAACATGAACATATTTAAGAGTCCCAAACTCCTGTATATGTGTGATGTCCATCTGCCAAACATCACCAGGGATCAAACCTCGAGGGTTTACTCCCATCGGTATGGCAGGTTTGTATGTGGCACAGGAGTTACATAGTCGCACGATATCTCGTGCATCTGCTCTAGAAACATGGAAATGGTTTGCTAGTGTCCTGGCATTAACATGAAATTTATCATGGAAGGCACGGGCTCGCTCGATTGGTGTTAGTAAGGTAAAAATCCATAACGGGCGAGTGGCAGTGTCAGCAGCCGCATTCCCCTGTGCCATAGGCCCTGGCAGGGATGTATGTGCTCTTATGTGGGTGGTGAAGACCTTATGGTGTCTGTTCTGAAGCAATGTCTGGATAGACAGGAACAGTCCAGCCACTGTGGAAGTGGATCTAATTAAACTGGCAGTCTCAAGCACTTGCATAGCATTGACCACATACCTAGAATCGGAGACAATGTTAATGGCTTCTGAGAACCGTTCAAGAATCATTTTAACGATCTGCAGTTCTACCACCTGAGGCTGATCTGGTTTAAATTGTATGGTAACCGGGGGCTTGCCTAGGATCACATAGGCGCCTATCCCCGTCTTGGAGCCATCTGTGTATATTGTAGTTGCTGGGACTAATGGCTCAGAGGCAGTAACCTTTGGAAAAATTATAGGGTGCTGAGTGACAAATGACAAGATAGGGTCTTTAGGGTATTGATTGTTTATATCCCCATGGAAAACACATCTCAGAATGGCCCAGGTATCTATGCAGGCAGCCAGGGTCTTGATCTGGCTGGCGGTATAGGGTACTCGGATGGCTTGTGGTCCTGAGCCAAAATGTTGGACAGCTCTATCATGCGCTTCAAGGGCCAATGAAGCGACTGCCTCCGGGTAATGCTCTATGACTTTTGCAGGTGAGACCTTAGGGTGTATCCACAGTAATGGTCCTTTCTGCCAAATCACCGCTGTGGGCTGTAGACTAGTCTGTAGCAAACAGACATCAAAGGGTCGCCCTGGTTCAATTCTGTGTAAGGTAGCCCCACCTAAGGCTTTTTCCACTCTCTGTAAGGCAGCTCTTGCCTCAGGAGTGAGCCTCCTGTGGGAGGCTATATCTGGGTCTCCCTTTAGAAGGTCGAACAGGGGTTTGAGATCTGAATTTGGTATATGTAAATATGGCCTAATCCAATTAATGTCTCCCAATAGCTTTTGCATGTCATTTAGGGTCCTAACGCCATCCGTCCTAATGGTGACCTTCTGTATAAGTCTGGAGGCGACACTGAGGTCCACACCTGCTGACCCAGGGGTGGCCCTTGTTGAAGGCTGCCATCCTGAGCTGTCCTGTCTCTGGGGCGGGGGCCCGCCTGTGAAGGGGGCCCCCTCTGGCCGTTTTTTGGCCCTCTAGCATCCTGTCCACAAATACGGTTGCCCTGAGCATCAAAGACCGACCTACACTCCTCAGCTTTGTGTGATCCCTTTTTGCATCGCCCACAAACATATGGTTCTTCATTCCTAGGGCGAGGCCTAGCATCTGCATTGTTTGGGCAATGACGTTTAATGTGTCCTGGCTCCCCGCAGGCAAAACACCCTTTAGCCTTACATTCCCCTTCTAACCCGCGAGGTCCCCTCTGCTGTACAGCCGCGGCCAGGAGAGCAGCCACTCCCGAGTTGGAGAGCGGCCCCCCTATCTCTCTGCATATCCTAATCCAGGCGTTGAGGTCCTTGTTCTTATGAGGAGCTATCGCTGCCTTGTACTCCTTTGTACATTGCTCGAAAATCAGCTGTCTTACCAGCGGTTGAGCCACTCCCGGATCAGGAAATATCTTATCGGCAGCATCTTGCATTCGGGCCACAAAGTCAACAAATGGCTCTGTGGTACCCTGAATTATTTTTGAAAGACACAAGGAGGCTGTTTCGGCACCACTTACTTGCTTCCAGGCGCGGAGCCCTATGGCATTGATTTGTTCATAGACAGCGCCGGGGAACTGAGTCTGATCATCAGCGTGCCGACCTTCTCCCATAAGCATTTCCTTGTTCCACCCCCGGTTTCCCCGATTGGCGTTTCTCTCAGCCTGCTCTGCAGAGAACTCTGCGTACCAGGCTCGCCAATCCAGGTAACTGCCCGAGGGCAGACACGCCTTTGCCAGCTGAATCCAGTCCGCGGGGGTGAGGGGCCCAGAAGACAGATTCTCCAGCATGGCAATGGTGTAAGGCGCAGTCGGCCCAAAGGTTGTAACTGCATTTTTAAGTTCTCTAATCTGCTTTATCTCAAAAGGCTCCCATACATTGCGTCCCTGGCCCATAGCTACTTGTACAGGAAATATCCCATAGGGGCCACTATCTATCCCAGGTGGATGTACCTCATGAGACAAGCGTCCCCCCTGCCAAAGCCGCCTGTAAAAATACCGACCCGCCGGCGGCGGAGCATAAGACAGCGGCCGTGATTGGGCGGAAAATGGGGGCCCGTGCATCACTTCCTGTTCTGGCGAAGAGGAAGGGAGCTCCCGGGCGGCCGCCTCGCGGCGAGGGATCGCCTCCGGGAACAGCCCCCAAGGTAAAGAACCCTGCGACTCCTTATCGAGCGACTTAGGCTCCTGACAGCTGGTCTCTTTGGCCTCCTTGCCATTCAACTTTCCCTCGTCCTCGGAGTCAGACGACTCCGAGGCTAGAGCCCCATCCTCCTCCTTAGCATCCTTGTTCCCCTTGACGGACCCCTCCCGGGAGCTCCCTGACTGGGCCTGCTCAGATACCCTGCGTACTTTTGTAAGCTCTTGAGAGCTTTCTCCACAACCACCCTCGCTCTTAATATTACTACCTAGCATGTTTCCCATTTTTTAATATGTTACTCACCGTGTGAGGCCCAAGGAATCCGACACTTACGCGTGAGCCTGAGGGGAGTCTAAAAGCCCTGTAGGTGCGCGCCACCCAGAGCCCAGGCTTATCCCCAACTCACCTGTCTCGCAGCTCTGTACTGGAGCGTTGTCCACTTCCACGTCTCGGGGGTGATCAGTCCCCGTACGGGCCACCAAATGTCGATGTCCGCTCCCGGCCGGCAGGAAGGACACACGACAAAGTCTGGCAGTGGACAACCTTTTCTTTTATTTTTCTTCTCCGTACAGCCTGCCCTGGGATCGCTCCCAGCCGAAGCCTCCTCTGGTCCGCTCCCCGCGGCTCCTTTTGGGCTTCTACTTCCGGGCTTCTCTCTCCCCCCCAGGGGTGGCACCAGTATATATACGGATACAGTGTCCAATCATGTTAAAGTGAGCAAGGCAAGCTGATTGGCTAACATCATCAGTTGCCAGGCAGACTATATTTTTGAGCGGGTTGCTTACGCGGTAAGCAGGAAACTAACGTGCTCGATGGGAGGGGTAATCTACCTCAGGCTTTACTCTTTACTACAGGCCTCACGTCCGCCAAGTGAGGCGACCGGGCTCGGGGCTGCGGCTCCCAACAATTACACACAGAAGCAAACAGTGTTAGCCCCCTCTCCAAACAGTACGCCACATTCGACAGTTGCTGCTCCCTGCCCTCCACCTCGGTTCCCCTGGTCATTGACAGTCATCAAGGACAGTGTAAGAGCCATTCTCAGCCTGTTCTCCTCCTCAGTCCCTCTCATAGCTCTCACATAGTCCACGTCCTCGTCTCAGTTCTCACTGCCCCTGCCGTGGTCTAGGTCACCACTATTTTCCTGTTACAGCATGGCCCTGAAGAAAATGGCCTCTGAAACCAGACTCCTGCGCTATGCTCCTGGCCCCTAAGAAATGTCAGAGAAAGAGAGGCAGAGACAAACACAGGCAGAGAGACAGAGTGAGACTACGTGTGGTGCTGGGGAGTGAGCCCAGGGCCTCATGCATGCTAAATACGTACTCTGCCACTGAGCATCAGCCTCAGCCCTGCAGTCTAATTTTGGATCTGCCACTGAGTTTGCCGAGTTGTGTAACTTCTCTGTGCCTTAGTTTTCTCACTGATGAAGTAGAGGTAAGAATTCCCTGTGAGCATTAAAATGATTCAGCAGACGTCAAGTGCTTGGCACAGTGGCCAACACATTGAACTCAATGTCGTCTGTCCGCGTAAGCACTGCCCAACTGACCTCTCCTGCCGCTCCCTTTTCCTTCTCAGCACTTCACAGTGCTCAGCAGGTCAGCTCTCAGCTGTGACAGCAGATCTCGCACGGTACCCCGCAGGAAATCTCCCAGTGGCACCTTGCGCTCTGAGCACTGCTTGTGTGCCGGGCTTGTTTCCATCGGCCCCTTGTCTCCAGTGTTGTAGCCATGCTCAGTAGTTGGCAGTTTCCGCTCGGGCTGTGATTTTGCATGCCTTGGCATTTTTGCTGTTTTTCCTGCTGCTTGAAATGCTCTTCCTTCCCTTGTCTGCAAATCTTTAATGATCCTTCAAGACCCATGTTTGGAAGCCCTTCTATGGAAACCTGGCCCTATGCGTGTGGATCTGATCACTCCTTTCACACTCACTGTAATGTACAAGTGTTACAACTATTTGTTTTTGCTTGTCTTTCTTTTTTTTTGTTTTGGTTTTATTATTTGTTTTTTGAGATAGAGTCACACTATGTACTCTAGGCTAGCTTTGAACTCATGATCCTCCTGTCTCCTGGGCTGGGAATACAGATGTGTGCCATTGTATGCACTTCACTCCTGCCCTCCAGGCAAGACAGGAACTCCATGCTGGTGGCCGCAGCCTCTGTTCCTGTTGCAGGGATTCACAGTATTTGGACAGAACAGGGGCCTTAAGCACATTGTTGAATTAGTAGCCAGGCCATTTGGAAATTACTAAGGTTTGTGTACTTCATTTCTTCCAGGCTGCAGGAATTGGTGAATCGAGTGCTGGAACGCTTTCAGGCAGCTGGACTAATAGTGAAAGAATGGAACAGTGTGAAACTGCATGGCACAGTCATGAACACGCTATTCAGGAAAGACCCCGATGGTAAGCACTCACAGAGCTATGGCACAGTGCATGAGAAGGGTTTAGAGGGCCACCAGGTGGCTTGGACAGACTGACCATCAAAGAGCCTCTCATGTATCTTTACTCTCATCTGTTAGTGTTTTGTTTTGTGGTAATAGAATTGAATCCAACATGTTGCCTTGAGCTGTATTATATCTCCAGTGTTGCCCACCCCAGCCCAACTGTCAAATTGCATGTATCCTCTTTTTCTTAACAGGGAATCTGTTTTTATAAGCTGCAATTTACATAGATTGGAGCTTTAGATTAGGAGAATACTTTTCATTAGAAAATAGTTTCATAATTACTCATGTGTATAGCTAAAATTGTATTATGTTTGTGAAGTCATTAGAACTCTGGACAGAACTGATGTGACTAAAGGAACATACTCCAAGATGGAAAGTGTGGGCTGGCATGGTGCACCTCTGTAATCCCAGCTGCTTGGGAGGCTGAGGCAGGAGGATCACAAGTTTAAGGCCAGCCTGGAAAAGTTACCAGTATTCTGTCTTAAAATAAAAAGTGCTGGGAGATAGCTAAGTCCTCTGTGGATGGTTCAGCCTTAGTACCAGAGAGAGAGAGAGAGAGAGAGAGACAGAGAGACAGAGAGACAGAGAGACAGAGAAAGAGAGAGACAGGTAGGGAGATAGAAAAGGAGATAAAGATTTGAATATTTTTGAAGGTCTGTCAGTAGACAAGAAAGGGTTGATATAGAAAATATTCTTGTAAGGTAGGTAATTTTTGATACTTTGAGTTTTCTATTTCCTGTACTCGTCTCTATATTGAATTTTTACTTAAAAAGGACATGAAATGATGTGTTACTTTTTCTTTTTCTGTTTCCCTTTGCTTTGATACGCCTCTTCTTGTTGCCCTTGAAGGACATCCTTTGGGACATGCAACCTAAATTAACTCAGAAGCTGGAACACAGCTTTGTTTAGGCCAAGGTCATAGATTTACTGCTTTTCAGTGTAGAATATCTATAAGGATACTTTTGATTGCAACAAAAGGACTTCTTTTCTTCTGAGGAGAGCCCTTAAATCAACCCAAAGTGTGGGGACCTGCAGTTTTTACTAACTATGTGTGAACTTTTATGTATTTTTACATATTTAAAATGCATGTAGGACTGGTATGTGGTTGAATGCTTGCTTAATATGCACAAGAGTTCAATCCCTAGCACTGTTAAAAGAGAGAGATATAGGGAGGGAGGGAGAGAGAGATTAAAAATGTTGTACATTGCTATCAGCTTGTCTTGGGTTTGTTCCTTGTGAGGAACCTTTAGAAATCAGTTACTCTCAACCTCTAACTTTGTAAATGAAGTTCAAGGAAGACATATGATTTGTGCAAGATACATCTAGTTACATAGTTAGTAAGTACTTTCCCTGAGTACCTGGGAATGCTGAATGAATGGATCTATACTGAATGAGCTGGTGGCAGAGCTGGCACTAAAAGCCAGGTGTCTTGATTAATAGCCTGCTGTTTTTCCTTACACATAATGGCACTTTCCAAGAGCACACGAAAATTTTGCTACTTGTCCTTGGGTACTTACAGAAATCCAACAGGATACAAACAGATAAATAACCCAAGCTTCTCTACCATTATCTTTGGAATGTTTACAGCTGAAGGCAGGTACAATCTCTACACCCCAGATGGCAAATATATCTTCAAGGAAAGAGAATCATTTGATGGCCGAAACATTTTAAAGGTCAGTATGAAGAAGAGAAAATTGGAAATCCTTGGCATGTGCCCTAAATAAGGCAGGAAAACAAGTTGTTTTCCTCTTAACAGTAGAGTATATTTTTCTTATGCTTTTCATGAGGATCACTGATGGAAAGAGCTATTTTAAAATTTTTTTTTTTATGTTCTAGAAAAAAAGAAGTCCTTTTGACTTTGTTAGGCTTTGGCACTTCTGGAGAATTGAAATTGGTGATCTAAGGGAAAATACAGTCTCCCACCTACTTAGAGGCATAAGAACAAGTTGTTTTTAACATGGCAAGTTTTATGTTGTACTTACCTCTGGAGGTTTGAATTTGCATATTTTTTGATGAAAAAGACCTGTTTTCTAGTAGATTTTTCTCTTCGCCCACAACATGGCTTTCCCAAGTTCCTGCACAATCTATTTTTACTCAGAGGTAGTCTCTGTCCTAAAAAGTAGGTGGTCCATTTCTGACTGTTGGAGTGTTGCTTTTTTTGAGTTGCATTAATCTCTGAAATTTAAGTAGAAGAGGCTGGCAGGATTGCATTTATCTTTCTCCAACAGACTGCATTGTGTAATGTCCATGATTTATGCCCTCTCTGTCAGGGTAACGTGCCATTGTTCCCCGGGCAAAGAGAAACACAGCTGATACCCAGGGAGAGGCTTGGTTCTTTATTTCACTTGTTCTATACTGGCTTAGGTTAGACATTTTCAAGGCCACGGGTGTTTCAGGGGTGGAGACAGTAACGTCAGAGTAAGCTGCATTTAGAAATGCTTTTTCCTGCCCTAGCCCATCCTCCATTCCCTTATCTCGTTCTTTGCCAGTGTTCTTCCCCAGTGCTGCCTGTGACCCCACAGCCTGTCATCAGCGACATTGCACTTCAGCTGTGAGCTCCTTCCTTGGCCCAAGAGGCCATCCCCAAGGCCTTCCAGCACCCGATGTGCAGAGCTCTTTGAGATGCTCTGGGTCTGAGTGGCAGGCTGCTCATGGACTCGATGGTGGCTAACTTCACCACTTGTCCTGGGCCGCAGCTTCGGTGTGCCGCACAGCTCCTGCCTTCTCTGTCTCCCTTCTGTGAGAATTTTCACAGACATCACGAATTACTTTGCTTTTTGTTGTTTTTAAGAAAGAAATTTCCAAATAGGGAAGGGCATCTTTAGTAATGGCTGAAGGCATCTTGGATGGAGTTAAAACGAAACCGGAAGTGTTAATGCGGTCAGGTGTGAGGGGCTTTGGCACCTGTGACAGCCTGCACGGCCTGTGGTTGCAGGATGGAAACCTCACGTGATTCTGCATTTCTGTCGCTCTGGCAGGGCAGTTTTCCATGTGATAATGCTTTTTCTTGCAGTCTTTAAACTACCCCAGCAATGACAGGACCGTAGCTCCCTCTAGTGTTGGTAAGCACTCCGCTGTCCCCCGAGTACCCTCATTGATTCACAGCTGTGTCTGTTCTGGAGCTGGACCCAGGGAGATACTTGGAGATCTTTAGTCCAGTTGCCCTCTTCAGTCTCTAGTGTGAGATCCATGTGGTCAAAATGACTCACCAAAAGTCCTGCTGGATAGTAGCAGACGCCAAAATCAGAGCAAAAAGACTCAGAACTCACACATTCAGCATTGTTTCTGATGCCTCCCATTGTGATGCTGTATTTGGATAGAGATGGTGATCATTAGATCATGGAGATAGGCATATCTGTCTGAGCAGGGATAATGTCTGATTAAAACTAATTTCACAAATGTTGGTGGCCGTGGGTGTGCTAGTTAGTCTAAAACTATGGTAATTAAAAATCAACATTTGGGGCTGGAGGTGTAGCTCATTCTGTGCAATGCTCTGGGTTTAATTCCTACCACAAATGAAGAAAGAAAGAAAAATTAGATTTTTGTATTGACTATAATTCTAACACTAACAGAAATGCCTGTGTATTGATGATATGTCATCCTCTAATGTGCCCTTAGGATCAAACAGTCATTCTGATACAGACCCTACCTTCCATGAGCTTCCAGGGTGATTACAGATAATATTGATGGTGCCAAGTTGTGGGAAGGAAGGGCCTTTGAACACAGATCGTTATGACAAACTGTCTTTTACTATGGTTTATAATATTTTCCTCCTCAACCATCTGTTGCAGGAATTAAAATCCTTTATCTATGTTCCATCGAGGAAATTACATGATGGGATCCAACTCTTAGCCCCCTCCCAACACACACAGTGATAACTTAACTGTTTGTAGAGTAGCTATAGTTAAACCCACCTTTCAGAATTGCGATGGTGGACATGTCTTTCTCAATTTGAACATAAGAATGCATGGCCCCTAAGGCCCTTAAAATAAAAATAAGATTTAGAAAACCAATGGATTATATATATATAGTTCTTATACCAGAATAAATTATTATTTTAAGAAAAAAATTGATTTCACTAACAAGATAGGAACTGATGTGAAGTGCACAGAAAGGTTAACTGCATCGGTTGTTAAGGAGCCCAGCATATGTGTGCAGCATATTAACAGATGCGCAGGCCAGGGATCAGGAGTGCTGGGGATGCGAGGGAGCCCTGGAAAAAAAATCAGCTGCATCGACTATTCAAAAAGGAACAAAGTGAGAAAGCAAGTCATTGCTCATTGCTGTAAGAATTTAATGAGTAACAGCCAATTGCTATTCTACTCCACGAAGAGAATTGGTCCTTTTGGCTCAGCATAATGCTGTGTTCTGGGTGCCTTAATAAGAAAAAAAGTCTCTAATGACTTTGGAGGTGGAAGCCACATTTTTCTTTTATACAGCTCTTTTGAGAGTTGTCGCAGCTGTAATAGACTAGTGTCTGGTTATTCATAGTTAAAATAAGAATTTTCTGTCCCTAAGAAAGACTTTGAAAGGACTGACAACTAAAAAATCATTCTCCTATGTTATTCAAACCAGAAAAAGCACAAACGTATTCCACTAGGGTGGGGTTCTTATGGCAGACTGACAGCTCCAAAGGAGGACGTATTAGTGAAGATGACCCATGCCAAATTAATAGCAGATGTCTCCTCCAAGTGTCTGCATTACTAAGCACGCAGGCAGCGGAGATGCTGTTTGTATAGCCATAGGCAGTCATCAGTGCATAATTGGCACAATCGTGCTGACCTAAAGGCACACTGCTGGGAAATAACTGCTCCCTCTTGAGCTGGAAGCAGAATGGTCATTAGCTGCCAGCTGCCGGAGAGGGAAGTCGGGGCAGTCTGCTGGGGGACTCAGGAGATGGCCTTAGGCAACGAACAGTTCCCTGAGTTTCTGCTCCAGGCTGGCTGAACAGGGGTACAGTGTCACCCTCACAAGCACAGCTCTGGTGCAGAGTGAGGAGGAGCCGCTTGACACCAGCACTGTTCCCACAGAGAAGGTGCTGAGCCCAGATGAAGGCACAGCCAGACATTTGAGGAGTGGAAAACACTGCGGGTCCAAAGCCAGAGGGCTCCATGAAAGTACCATTTCCTCAGACGCTTTAAAAAATCATGGAGCATAGAAGCCAGGTACAAGGGAAATGAATTTGTACTTTCTATTTTATATATAAAAATCTTCAAATTTCGAGAGAGGAGAGGTTGGCAATATTAAACAAGATACTTCAATTTTAATGCTTCTATAATATGTTTTAAGTCTATCCCACATTGTGACTTGTCTGGAAGATGTGAGAATCACTCATGCATTTCATTGATTTTTTTTTCCCTTTGGTCCCATCTCTGTTCCTTGGACTCCTTTAGAGGACAATTAGAACAGCTAAATTTAAGTGAGATCTTTAGTTAGTTTGCTCTACTCACAGCAATTTTTATAAGGGAAGCTTTTTGAAAAACTGTACTATAGTTTTTGTTGCTATGTATTTGCACAAAGCGTATCTATACTATTTAACGAATCATCATAAACAATAGAAGATCAGAAACTAAAATAAAGCTCCCAGTGTCTTTTCCTGCCCAACTCTTTAATCAGTTCTCGCTAAAGTAAAAACGTAATTAATTTTTTTTTGTGTTGCACTGGAGATTGAACCCAGTGAGAACTGACCTGCATTTCAACCCCCTTTTTTGTTTGTTTGTTTGTTTTATATAAGATTTCACTATATAGTTCAGGCTGGCCTGAACGCACTGTGCAGCCCAGAATGACCTCGAACTCACAGCAGTCTTCTGCCTCAGCCTCCCAACTGCTGGGTTTATAGGGGAGTGTCACCAAGCCTACCTGGTTTTGAGATAGGTCCTTAAATTGCTGATGCTAGCCTCAAATTTGTTATCCTCCTGCCTCGATGGCTGAGCAGTTGGGATTATAGGCATGTGCCATGATGCCCAACCGAGGCTTGGTTTTTTTTTTTTTTTTAATCGGTCCCGGGGATTAAACTCACGACCACCTGCTTGCAAGTCAGGTGCTTATGCCACTGAGCTAAATCCCCAGCCCCGAGAGGCTTGTTTTGAATGAATATTTGGTTTTGAACAGTTAGAGTGTTGAAGGATGAGTTCTTTTTAATTTTTTCTAGGGAAAAGAGGAGTGACAAAACTATGTAATCATTTAAAAGAAATCTAATAAACTATTTCTTAGAGCAGTTTTAGGTTTACAGCAAAAATAAGAAGAAAGTATAGCATTCCCATATCTCCATTCCTGCACATGCATGGCTCTCCACCATGGGGGGACATTTGTGACAATTGACGAGCCCACACTGACACACCATTATCACCCATGTCGACGGCTGAGTACGGTTCCCTCTCGGTGCTGTGCGTCCTGTGAGTTTGGACCAGTGGTAACGACATCTGCTCATTGTCTTCCTGCCCTGAGCATTCTTGCTCCGCCTTGCTCCTCCCTTCCTTCCCTCTTGCCCTGGGAAACGACTGATCTTTGTGTAATATGCATAGTTTTGACATTTCCAGAATGTCACACAGTTGGAGTTATACGGCATGTAACCTTTGAGATTGGCTCTTTTCATGTAATAATACGCATTTATGTTTCCTCTGTCTTTGCATGGCTGATAGCTCATTTTTTAGTGCTGAATAATACTCCGCTG